GTTCCTTTGCAGCACTATTCTTAGCCAAGAATTGGAAACAACCTAAAGTCTATTGACCAATGAATGGATTAAAAAATGTATATACACACAATGGGATCTTATTCAGCTTTAAAAAAGGAAATCCTGGAATATGCAACAACACAATAAACTTGAGGACATTATGCTAAGCAAATAAGCCAGTCCCAGAAGGATAAATACTCCGTGACTCCACTTATATGAGGTATCTAAAATAATCAGACTGATAGCAGCAGAGTGCAGAATGCTGGTTGCTGGGAATGGGAAGTTGCTAATCAATGGATGTAACACTTCAATTACGCCAGATGAATTCTAGCGCTCTGCTGTACAATATTATGCCTGTAGATGACAATACTGCATCGTGCACCTAAAAATCTGTTGAGTGTAGCTCAGGTTAAGTGTTCTTGCCACAATAAAACAATGTTAATACATATATAATGAAAATTATTTTTTTAAATCTTGTCAAAGAGAGGGAAGGAAGGAAGACAGAAAGGAAGGCAGGCAGGCCTCTGTGAGAAATGTGGTTGCCTGGTCAGTCTCCAGCTGCTGTTTTGTTTCTGGGAGTGGGGCGGCTAATGGAGTCTCACTCTGTCACCCAGGCTGGAGTGCAGTGGCACAATCTCGGCTCACTGCAACCTCCGCCTCCCAGGTTCAAGTGATTCTCCCGCCTGGGCCTCCCAAGTAGCTGGGCTTACAGGTGCGCACCACCATGTCCGGCTAATTTTTTTTTTTTTTTTTTTTTTTTTTTTTGAGACAGAATCTTGCTGTTGCCCAGGCTGAAGTGCAGTGGCGTGATCTCGGCTCACTGCAACCTCCATCTCCCGGGTTCAAGTGATTCTCCTGCCTCAGCCTCCCAAGTAGCTGGGACTACAAGTGCAAGCCACCACATCTGGATAATTTTTGTATTTTTAATAGAGACGGGGTTTCACTATGTTGGCTAAGCTGGTCTCGAACTCCTGACCTCAGGTGATCCGCCTGCCTCGGCTTCCCCAAGTGCTGGGATTATAGGCATGAGCTACTGAGCCTGGCCATGCCCAGTTAACTTTTTGTGTTTTTAGTAGAGATAGGGTTTCACCATGTTGGCCAGGCTGGTTTCAAACTCCTGACATCAAGTGCTCTGTCTGCCTTGGCTTCCCAAAGTGCTGGATTACAGGTGTGAGCCACCGTGCCCGACCAGCTGCCGGGTTTGGATCCACCTCAGTTCTCACACTGAGGCCACTTTCTGGTTTACTCTCACTCAATGACTGCATGCAGTAGGAAGGAGTCCTAAGTCTGAGGTACATAATACAGTCACTGATTTAGTAAATGCATTTTTTTCCCCCATCTGTCTCAGGAAAAAGACTAGAAACGGTTTGCATCCACGTGGGACAGACAATATTTACTTAGTTTTGCCGCAAGAATAATGCTTGCTCCATTGATGATAAAATGTGAATTATAGGCTGTTATAGTTTGCATATTTGTCCCCACCCAAATCTCACGTTGAATTCTAATCCCCAGTGCTGAACACGGGGCCTGGCCAGAGGTGTTTGGATCACAGGGGCGGATCCCTTATAGCTTGGTGCTGTCTTTCGCATTCTCTTGAGATCTAGTCATTTAAAAGTGCGTGGCATCTGCCCCTGACCTTGCTACTGCGTTCACAATGAGACGTGTCTGCTTCCCCTTTGTCTTCGATGATGACTGAAGTTTCCCGAGGCCTCCCAGAAGCACATGCTGCTATGCTTCCTGTACAGCCTGCAGAATATGCTTCCTATACAGCCTGCAGAATCACCAGCCAAATAAACCTCTTTCTTACACATTACCCAGTCTCAGGTATTTCTGTACAGCAATATTAAAAAAAAAAAAAAAAAAATTGGCACCAGGAGTGCGGAATTACCATAAAGATACCTGAAAATGTGGAAATGACTTTGGAACTGGGTAACAAGCAGAAGTTGAAAGAGTTTGGAAGGCTCAGAAAAAGACAGGAAGATGAGGAAAGGTTTGAAACTTCTTCGAGACTGGATAAATGGCTGCGACCAAAATGCTGATAGTGATACGGACAGTGAGATCCAGGCTGCTGAGTCTCGGATGGAAATGAGGAAGTGTTAGAGCTTGTGTGTGTGTGTGTGTGTATATATATATATATATATATATATATACACATATATATATACATTTTAGACAAGAGTTTTGCTCTGTCCCCCAGGAGTACAGTGGTGCAATTTCAGCTCACTGCAACCTCTGCCTCCTGGGTTCTAGTGATTCTCCTGCCTCAGCCTCCTGAATAGCTGGGATTACAGGTGCCTGCCACCATGTCTAGCCAATTTTTTTTCCTTTTTTTAGTAGATATGGGGGTTTCACTATGTTGGTCAGGCTGGTCTCGAACTCCTGACCTCAGGTGATCCACCTACCTCAGCCTCCCAAAGTGCTGGGATTATAGGCGTGAGCCACTGTGCCTGGCTAAGGAGCTTATATTTAAAACGGAAGCAGAGCATAAACTTTTGGAAATTTTGTAGCCTGCCCATGTGTCAAAGAAAGAAAAAGCTTTCTCAAAAGAGGAATCCAAGCAGGCTCTGGAGCAACCACCTGCTAGAGATATTTGCATAACTAAAAAGGAGCCAGTGTTAACAGTCAAGACAATGGGGAAAAGTCTTGAACACATTTCAAAGACCTATGCAGCAGCCCCTCCTATCACAGGTCCTGAGACCTAAGAGGGAAGAATGGCATCATGGGCCAGGCCCAGAGCCGCACTGCCCTGCACGGCCTTGAGACACTGCTCCCTACATTTTGGCAGCTCCAGCTCCTGCCAGGGTTCAAAGGGGCGCAAGTACAGCTTAAGATACCACTTTGGGTGGCCGGGCGCAGTGGCTCAAGCCTGTAATCCCAGCACTTTGGGAGGCCGAGGCGGGTGGATCATGAGGTTGAGAGATTGAGACCATCCTGGTCAACAAGGTGAAACCCCGTCTCTACTAAAAATACAAAAAATTAGCTGTGCATGGTGGGGCGTGCCTGTAATCCCAGCTACTCAGGAGGCTGAGGCAGGAGAATTGCCTGAACCCAGGAGGCGGAGGTTGCGGTGAGCCAAGATGGCGCCATTGCACTCCAGCCTGGGTAACGAGCGAAACTCCGTCTAAAAAAAAAAAGAAAAAAGATACCACTTTGGAGAATACAAGTTGTAAATGGCTTCCGTGTGGTGTTAAGCCTGAGTGCAACAGTGGTGGGTTCTTGTCAGCCTCTGCCTAGATTTCAGAGGATGCATAGGAAAGCCTGGGCGTTCAGGCAGAAACCTGCTGCAGCGGCGAGGGCCACACACAGAACCTCTACTAGGACCGTGTGGAGGGGAGATGTGGGATTGGAGGCCCCACATGGAGTCCCTTCTGGGGCACTGTGGGCCATCCTTCAGACTTGTAGATGCACCTGCAGCTTGCACCCTGAGCCTGAGAAGGCCACAGACACTCAACCTGTGAGAGCACCTGAGAGGGGTGGACCCTGCAAAGACGCAGGCGAGGAGCTGCCCAAGGTCTTGGGAGTCCACCCCTTGCAGCAGTGTGCCCTAGATATGGAATACGGAATCGAAGATTTAATGACTGCCCTGTAGGTTTTGAACTTGCAGAGGCTCCCCAACCCCTTTCTTTTGGCCTATTTCTCCCATTTGCAAGAAAAATGTTTACCCAATGCCCATACCCCCGTTGTGTCTTCAAAGTAAGTAACTTGTTCTGATTTTACAGCTCATAGGTAGAAGGAACTCATTTCCACAAGAATTTGGATTTGAAACTTGAAACTTTTGAGTGAATGCTGGAATTCGCTAAGACTTTGGGGGACTGCTGGGAAGGCCTAACTGTACTTTGTCATCCACTCTACCCAAAGGTGTAGAGTGCATCTGTGCGGTGTTAAGGAGTGTAATGGTTACCATGGAGTTGTGCCACTCAGGTCTCAAAACTGGACGCAAGTAACAAACCTGGCTGCCAGCCTCCAGCTGCCAGGCCTCCCGATTTGTTGGAGCACTCACGTGAAAACCCTATGTTCTCCTCAAGCTGCTGCAGACTGGCAGTCAGGCCATCTCTGCCCAATCCAGGACTACTCTAGTAGGTACCCTGCTCTGAGCTTCCTCATCAGGCTGGCAGACTCTCAGAACAGCTGAGGTTTGAGTTCTCGCCTCCGTCTTCGTCACAGGTCTCGGAAGCACACTGCACTCTGAAGGCCGTCCCTCCCGCCCGGTCCCTCTCCCTTGTATCCCTATAGGCATTTTCCTCAGTATGTCTCAGCCTATCTGACTCCATCTTGGCGTCTGCCTTTTGAAGGATCCAAAGTGACACTAGCATGTATGCTTTAACAATACATTTGTTAAATGAGAATAACCGTTTTTTGTTTCTGTTTTTTCAGAAAGGGTCTCGCTCTGTTACCCAGGATACAGTGCAACAGCACAATCATGGCTCACTGCAGTGTCGACTTCCTGGGCTCAGATGATCCTGTCACCTCAGCCTCCCGAGTAGCTGGGACCACAAGTGTCCACCACCATGCTGCGCTAATTTTTGTATTTCTGGTGGAGACCGGATTTTAAGATGTTGCCCAGGCTGGTCTTGAACTCCTGGGCTCACCCACCTCAGCCTCCCAGTGTTGACATTACAGCCATGAGCCACTGCGGCCCGACTAAGATTTTTCAAGTGATTCTCCTGCTTCAGCCTCCTATCTGGTATTATGCACACCTGGTTTATTTTTGTATATATCACATAATTTTTAGTAGAGATGTGGTTTCACCATGTTGGTCAGGCTGGTCTCGAACTCTTGACCTCAAGTGGTCTACTCGCCTGGGCTTTCCAAAGTGCTAGATTACAGACGTAGGCCACCATGCCTAGCACCATGTTAACTGTTTATTTTTCTGAGACAGAGTCTCAAAACGGCCATACCCCCACTGTGTCTGTCAAGTCGATACCTGACCAAAGTGAACTGATATAGAATGGAGTATAGAGAAACAGCTGGCAAAAGAACATGTCACACTGCATGCTATCTTATTTGCAGTGCATGGTATCTTTATTTTAGAAAACAGATTGAATCAAACAGATTAGAGTTATTGCTTTCTTGTTCTGTATATTCATATTCTCCACTTGAAAAAGCACATAGTCAAATCTATCTTCATCCATTCTGTTAGTGAGGGTAAGCAAAAAAGATCCTGTTTACTTCAAAAGAACCTAGGAGAGAAAAACACATACAACTTACTTATATCATAGATTTTAAAAGTCTCTATAACCTGGATAAAACAAAAATACAATAAAGACAGAAAATCAACTAAGATGACAATAAAACATTCTAAATTGATTAGACTACCAAAATCCACAACCACCTTTGTATTATCAAAGAATTTGTCATGGTGAGCTTAGCTAACAAAGTATTCTCTGATTCTGACTTAGAAGACTTTTAATGTTCTTACCATTAGAAAATAAAAGTAAACTGCCGGGCGCGGTGGCTCAAGCCTGTAATCCCAGCGCTTTGGGAGGCCGAGGCGGGTGGATCACAAGGTCAAGAGATCGAGACCATCCTGGTCAACATGGTGAAACCCCGTCTATACTAAAAATACAAAACATTAGCTGGGCATGGTGGCGCGTGCCTGTAATCCCAGCTACTCAGGAGGCTGAGGCAGGAGAATTGCCTGAACCCAGGAGGCGGAGGTTGCGGTGAGCTGAGATCGCGCCATTGCACTCCAGCCTGGGTAACAAGAGCGAAACTCCGTCTCAAAAAAAAAAAAAAAAGATACCACTTTGGAGAATACAAAAAAAAAAAAAAAAGAAAAGAAAAGTAAACTTATTACTGTTTTACAAGAGCAACCTTATTTCCCAAATTTATTTGACTCTACTTCAGGAAAAACTATTCTAACTCCCTAGAAATTGTTCTCTCTTTTGAGTGAGCAGTCGTAAGTTAATTTATAGGTCCATAATGTTTCCACTTCATTAAGATACTGACACCAAAACAGCCAAAAAGTTTTTCCTTTTTTTTAATCTGCAAGTTTTGTGACTTATTATAGACACCTTAGGTTTTTTTTTGTAAAGACAGGGTCTCTCCTCATTTTGTTACCTATCCTCCCATCTTGGCCTCCCAAAATGCTGGGATTACAGGTAAGAGCCACAGTGCCCAGCCTCCCAGGAACTGAATTAAATAAACTACACTAAAGAAATAACATGTTAAAAAAAAAAAGGCCGGGCGTAGTGGCTCAAGCCTGTAATCCCAGCACTTTGGGAGGCCGAGGCGGGTGGATCACGAGGTCGAGAGATCGAGACCATCCTGGTCAACATGGCGAAACCCTGTCTCTACTAAAAATACAAAACATTAGCTGGGCATGGTGGCACATGCCTGTAATCCCAGCTACTCAGGAGGCTGAGGCAGGAGAATTGCCTGAACCCAGGAGGCGGAGGTTGCGGTGAGCCGAGATCACGCCATTGCACTCCAGCCTGGGTAACAAGAGCGAAACTCCATCTTAAAAAAAAAAAAAAAAAAATCAACCCAATTTCAGACACTGAATATTTGTAACTTAAAAAACATAATCACGAAGATGTCTCTGTACTATTACTCCTTAGCAATCCTATAATACAGACAATTGTGCTTCATTTTAGTCAGAAAAACTGTACCAAGAGAAAAACTCTAAAGAAAAAAATTTCTTGTAGAACACACAAAATAAAATTGTTGTGCGAATATGTCCAGACAAACAAAATTCAAGTTATGTGCTCTCTTTGTGTTCTAGGTTAACTTTACAGTAAGTTACAAAAGAAACAATTTTTGGTTCAGATTAAAACTCAAGTTTATCACTTTCTTTCAGTTCTAAAACGTTAACGTTTCTATACGTTAATCCAAATGACTGTTTTGTCACTTAGGCTTGAGTACAGTGGCGTGAACCTGGCTCACTGCAACCTCTGCTTCCTGGGCTCAAATGATTCTCCTGTTCCAGCCTGCAGAGTAGCTGGGATCACAGGCACACAGCACCATGCCCAGCTAATTTCTGTATTTTTAGTAGAGTCAAAGTTTTGCCATGTTGGCCAAGGTGATCTTGAACTTCTGGCCTCAAGTGATCTGCCCACCTCGGCCTCCCAAAGTGCTGGGATTATAGGCGTGAGCTACCATGCCTGGGCCACGAGTCAAAATTAAGATAAAATTATTTCAAAAAATTTAGACACTGACCATATTAACAGAGGCAGTGTGTTCTTATGCTCCAAACTAATACACATGATGTTTTTCAGCATTCAGCGCATTTTAAAAAATAAAGGCTCCTCTTTTTACATGGTTAAGAAAAAGAAAATGCACATTTAGACAATATATCAGTTATTCTGGCATCATGTTACTATACATCCTGTTATTACAAGTAAACACAATCATCTTATTTAACGATCCACTTACCCACTGCTAGCCTAAAAATCTTCAAGGAACAGGAGTTTCAGAATAAAAAGGTTATCTTTATTGTAGATTGATTCATATTCCAGAATAGAAATGGAAGGTAGGTGAGGATTCATGGTAAACTAGATATAAGGAATCCACTCCTCTTCTCCCTTGACCAGAAGTTAAAGGGAAAACAAAGGCCTTTTTGCATCATTTTTTAAGTCAGCAAGGGATACCTTTTCAGTGTCGAACCCTGTAATCACGATGTATTCATAATTACGTTTGCTGTATACAATAAATAAATATACATGCAAAACATGTAAACAATTCTGCATACAAACCATCTAAAATGGCCGTCTACAGCTTGCCTTAGCATCCTTTACTTCAACAGACCCTCCATGTTATCTTAGGTAACCACAAGCACAAACAGGACTTCCTGGTGACGCCGCAGCCCTCACTGCAGGGCACATGCTCGGTAGCTACAGATTTTGAGGAGGCATGGTGTACAATGCGAAGAGCCCTGGACTGACAATCAGGACACGGGAATCCTAGGCCTGGCTCAAGTCACCAACTTCTCTGGACTTCTATGTACAAATTCAAGATTACATGAGATGACGAAACGTTCCAGATTACTCTAACTTCTATGGCAGGGCTCTGCAGGCTGGTAGCTCATTCTGTTATTAGAGGTATTAACAGGAGTCAGGACTCCCCTTCTTTAATAATTTCTTCCTCTAGATATACAGTTTTTATCATCTTTAAAAGTTGAAAACAATTATGTGTGCTACTTTACTAGAATAAAAAACCTTCTAAGATGGTCACATATACGCCCTAAAAACAGAATTATACCAGTTACAGTTTAACCCTCATTTATAAGACTAAAATGTAATACTCTCTAATATGAAGGTCTCTAAAAATACTGACTGCTCTGCTCATTTTCTGATTTCATTAGAAACTTTAAAAAACATCAAGAGTCAACTTGAAGTTAAAAGTTGTTGAAATAAGCCAGAGGTGGTGGCTCATGCCTGTAATCCCATCACTTTGGGAGGCTGAGGTAGGTGGATCACTTGAGGCCAGAAGTTCAAGACCAGCCTGGCTACTGTGGCAAAACCCAATCTCCACTAAAATGACAAAAAAAAAAAAAAAAAAATCAGTGAGGTGTGGTGGTACACACCTGTAATCCTAGCTACTCAGGAGGCCGAGGCACAAGAATCGTTTGAATGCAGGAGGTGGAGGTTGCAGTGAACTGAGATCATGCCACTGCAGTCTATCCAGCTTGGGTGACAGAGTGAGACCCTGTCTTTAAAAAAAAAAAAGAATTAAGAACCATACGCTTTTCATTTCTGTCCAAATGATCTTACACAGCTTGGCTGCCAGAAACAAGAGACACTACAGTTAAAATAAGTAAGTAGATGAGAGAACAAACAGCTCTGCATCTTATTATAAATTTAATTGAAATTTACATTCTTTAATTCTAGAGAACTTCCAAGTATCATTTAATTTCTTCTATTCAGTCTAGTCAAATTCTAATAAAGAATGCAAATGAAAAGTGGGGAGAGAGGGAGGGAAGAAGAGACAGACATACACACTCTCTTAGGAAAAACAGGCAGAGATGAAAAATTGCAACATTGGATAATTAAAATTCAGAACTGAATGTGAAAGAAGCTTACAAACAGACTCAGGTAAGGGAGAAGCACAAAGACAGGGAGACACAGAGGAACAGGGGAAAAGTCCAGCCAGATAATCAAGAGAGAAAGGTGAACGGGCAGGGGGGAACTGATGGCAGAGCAGAACACGGCGCAGTGACAAGGAAATGAGTCTTGATCTAGAGACAGCCAGTTGGAAGAGATCACTCCAACCCCAATACTTTTTTTCCAATTATATATTGTTATCTCCAAAGCTCCCATTACAAAGGAAGACTGTTTTATTTTTTTATTTTAATTAATTTATTTTGAGATGAGAGTTTTTCTCTTGTCGCCCAGGTTGAAGTGCAGTGACACGATCTTGGCTCACTGCAACCTCTGCCTCAGCCTCCCGAGAAGCCGGGATTACAGGTGCCTGCCACCACACCCAGCTAATTTTTATATTTTTAGTAGAGGTGGGGTTTTGCTATGTTGGCCAGGCTAGTTTTCAACTCCTGACCTCAGGTGATCCACCTGCCAAAGTGCTAAGATTACAGGCGTGAGCCACGGTGTCCGGCCAGAACCTTTTGTTTTTATAAAATTATCAACAATGCATATTTTATTTCCCTTACAAATTAAAAAAAAAAAATCAGACTTACTGTCAGTATAATTTTGTCATAATTAAAGGTCATATACACCAACATACTGAGGAGAAAATCCTAATCTTATATACTATTAGTTATCATTCAGAGTAAAGAATGAGAGTACACCAGTGAGGTTAAATTCAACCTCAGGCAAGAACCTACAGGCATCTATGATCGCACGCCATTGTACAATATCATATGACATATAACACTGCTATCAGACCAAAAACACACGATTAAAGATAACTTACCATTTAGAGTCACAATCCAGGAATCCTAATCCTGCTTCCATTTTTGCCCCCTTGCTTCGGTTGGTATGTCACGCTCTCTCTCTTCTCCTAGGCAGATTTTAAGTCAGTAGCCATCAATCTGAAGAATTCCTTCCTCTGCTGCCACCTACCAGTTTAATTCTCTGCTGCAGCAGAAGGGTATATAGAAAAAATTACTGCTTACCATTTAGATTAAATAGAAAACATTACTTTGTTTAACATTTTGTATTTTTGCATATATACCAACTTTTTAATGTTTCTCCAAGACCTTCCCTCCAAAAATCAAAAACAAAAATCCCAATCACAGAAAATCAAACACTGTATGATTAATATTCATGCTAAGCTAGGAAAATTTACAAAAAAAAGTAAAAAGAAAAGAAGTGGAAAAATTTAGCCACTCAGCAGTTGCCATCTCAAGAAGCCATTTTCTTTTCTGTTTCCTTCTTTACCTACTCCTACAATCTATGAAGAAACACTATAACTTAACATTTGAAGTAGGCAGTCTACAACTCCTACAAATTTTAAGTTCAGAGACTACCCAAGAACTGTGGAAGATGCAGCAATGTAAAAGTTTTTTAAAGTAACTCTAGAAACTAAGGGTGTTAGGTGCTTTACCTGCTTGAGTTTTCAATGTTCTGGACTGCTTATTGCCCAAGGCTCTGAATACATTAAAACACGAACACATACGCCACCTACATTTAAAATAGGGTAGCATTTGTATGCCCATATAAGCAGTAGGTATATTTTTTGCAAAAGAGTAATAAATTCATTAAGTCCTCTAAAAAGGACTGACCGTAAATGCACATTTCCTCAAACTATACATACATAAAAGAATTAGGGGAAAAGGGGAGACAGAATGACAAATACAATAGCAGTTGTAGAAGTGGGGATTGACACAGCATAAATGTCTTCTGTTTGTTAAAATCCTGGGATTCTACTTTGGCTCTGCCACTATGTTAGGACAAGGAAAAAAAAAAATCCTTGGATTCATTTCTATTCCCATTCTTTTTGTCATCTAAGTCTACGTTCCAAATTTATTCTTTATTAGTTGTTAAGGGACAATCTCTGGTAATGAACTACAAATAGCAGTAATGTCTTGTTTTTGTTCCACCCTCCCACTGCCTTCATCAAGATAAAAATATGCACAGTTTTGCCAACTTAAAAAAATCAGGAAATAAAACAAACACTGACAGAAGCACCAAAGACTAGTCAACAGTGGCGCTGCAGTGACGTTGCTTCTACTTTCTCATTCCTTCCCCCAGTCTCAAACCCCACCCTTTGACCTCTGTATATGGGATGAGCCTGAGCAGGAGAGTTGGTGATGTCAGGACTGCGCCGTTCCCACGGATGCTCCTAGAGGCCTGCTGTGCTTCTGGGAACTGAGGCACAGGGATGTCTGTCTGACTGAAACCTAAAACAACAACAGTTCACCCACCCCTCATGTTCCCAAACCCCACAATAGCAGCCAGGTATATATGCTATATAAGGCTCACCTAGTAAGTATGAATATGGTAAAATCTAAACGCAAGATCATTCTTAACAAGTCAGTGGTATTCAGACAGGCAGCTGACCAGAGGTGGTTAAACTCTCCGTGCCTTATACAATCACATAGTTTGTATACTCTAGTGTGAGTCATTCATATCAGCAAGAGAACAAGGCTCTCCTGAATAAGGCTTTTTTTTTTTTAAAGTATACATCACAAATTCTTGCTTGAGTGCAGCTGGGACCCCTTTGTTAGTAAATTCCAATCCAACAGATAAATATCTTTGTCGTAAGATCCTTAAGGGGAATGACTGTCCTTTTAAGAGTCAACTGAAGCACAGAACAGGTTAATCACTGATCACATGTCTTCCTTCAGCTACAGAAATAGCATTACAAGCCAAGACTTCCTGTTCACTAACTAGTGACTCACTGGACGTACAGCCTGTTTGGATAGTACGTCTGAAGCCACAGGATGAAATTATGCAGAAGTATATCTTGAAAAGGTCCTGACTACTCTCACTAAAATTCTACCTATTAGAAAGATGATAATACCCCAAAATAGCAAAAGCTCAGAGCTAAAACTTTAGAAAGGATAGGAGAAAAGAAGAAAGGGTAGGTAGACTGGCATAAAGACAGTGGAGAGGATAGTTTACTTTATTACCTAACAGAAAGGCTACTAAAATGGACAAGGTGTACAGTCCTATCCCTGACAATTTATGTCCTTGGTTAATGTGCTTAGCCATCTTGTACCTCAGAAATGCCCTCCTATCTGTTCAAACCTGTAATTTTGAATGTTTAAACCATGATTTTCTGATCATCTCAAACTGCTCACATCTCCTTGTTAGAACTAGTATCTTAGAACCGCCAAAATGATTAGTTCTGAAATCACATTCCTCCTAAAAGAACTAAAATGTTTTGTATTCTCTTTGTCTTATTAACCCCTTCCACTTTTATAATGTCACAGAAAGAGAAGCACTAAGGTAAAACAAATGCTATGTTGGGTTTTTACCATATATATAACCTAGAACCTGATTTTACCTTTCAAAACTCTAGTTTTCCATACCTGTCAACTCCTAATTGATGTCTTTATACTGTGAGCTCACTGTGTATTCGGAACACCAACCCCTGAAAAAGCTTAAGCCAGAGTAGCACAATGGAAGAAACAAATAAACCCAAAACAAAAACAAAGCCAAAAAATTCACACTCTGAAATATTTAATTATAGACATATATTCAAGAAATGGAGTCATCTAAATGGCTAAACAAAATTCCAAGAAAGTCCTGAGTATATCGTAACCAAGTCAAACTTTACCCCCAAAAGCTCTCCTTTAATCATATCATTTGCTAGATTTATTTATTTTTAATTGAGATTTATGACAAACCCATGGTTACTTTTTAAAGCATACAAAGGAGGAGAAGTTTTTTAAAAAAGAAAATTAGCCTAGTGATGGAAAGAAAGGAGAAAGAGTTAAATTACCTGCAAGCAGGCTGGGCTGTGCCTGAATCCAAACCGGTGCATTTACCATTCATTATACAGCTGCATTATTGGGGGAAGGGGAGTTTAGAAGGGCAATGACCCCGAAAGTTCTCAATACTTCTCACTCATCATCAGGAAGGGGGAAGAAGGAAAGTTTTTTCTCTGGGTATTTTTTTGTTTGTTTGTATTTGTTTTTTTGGCTCCTGAAAAGGCTGGTAAAGAACAGTAACAGTGCAAGCAGTTAGAATATTTCTTTAAAAACAATGTAAAAAATGCAAAACATTAAGGATTTTCAAAGGCCAAACTTTCGTTAATATAGAAAAGAATTTTCACTAGAGTTAGGCAGCCACCCCAAAACAGCATGGCAAAATGGCATTGATATAAAGGAAATAAAATGCCACACAAAAATCCAAAACAAAACTAAAAACATTTCAAATTAAACCTGGAAGACTAGAAGATTCCAACAGCAGATTTCTGTCCACTACTGAAACATTCCAAAATCCAAGCTCCAAAGGTGCCTAAATGTATTTTAAATGAAACTTTGTTTTGTTTTGTTTTAACAAAAAAAAAAAGAAAAAGAAAAAGAAAGCAAGCAAGCAGTCAGTGAACCTGGTTATAAATCCTGCAATATATTACATTTTAAAAAATCCTAGTACAACAAAAACAAATCTTAAATAAAATTAAACAAACAAACAAATAAAAACAGTAGCAGCAGAGGTTACCTGTCTGAGCACCTACATTTTCTTAGGAGGGGATCGTGTCTCACCAGCCAAATAGCCCATAAACCTTCTCAAAAAAAGTGAGCCAGGAGAAAAATATAACACAAGATTTGATTTTACAATGTCTCTAAGCCCCCCAACCCCCAAACTGGGGATTCACTGAATGAAGCAAATTTGCTTCTCCACTGCTTTCTTCTTGAGAAAAAGAGATGATTTTCAAAGTCAATGCCTTCAATATCTTCTCAAAGTCTGATAATGTGCTTGATGAAAGCCAAGTCTCTTGTTGGGTTTTTCTAATGTTCCAGGGTAGTTTTCTTATTGATAACACATACAGAAAGATTTCAATGTTCATTGGAGAAAAGCCAGCAGAAATTATAGGCACCAAAAAAGAAAAAAAACTATTAAAAATTTTAACTAGAATAGTTCATACTTATATGTTTAGATGTATATATAGAGTCCAGTTTTCATGATGGGTGACATAAATACAATCAGAAATAATTATTTTTGAAGTACAATTTAGAATTACAATTTTAACAATATACAAAAATTTTACAATTCAGATTTTATCATTATACATATTTGATAAATACATTTTATCTCTCATAATAGCAATGAAGATTATACAAAAGTTATTAAACAATTATGAAAATAAATTTAATTTTCACCTAAATATCTGCTGCTGTTTCCTTAGGGTCCTTCCAGAATGATTTGCTCTTATTCTTTACCTTAATTTTGAAGGAATTCAAGAAGATATCCATGTTTTTAAAATCTAAGATGATAACTACTGTTCTTTTCTTTCTAACATGTGAGAGTATAATCCAGAAACTGGTTGCGAAAGCTGTGTTTTAGTATTACGTGAATGCATAATAGATAGTGAATAAAACTAATGAACTAATTTCACATATTTCCTATAATATAGTTGGTTAATTTGGTATGAGTTAAAAGATGGCTTACTACATTTTTCCTGATGCCTTACCCACCAACACAAACTTGAAATTTTCATTGAATAAAGAGGTTGTTTTTAAATGTATTAATCTACATACCTATGATATATAACTATTCAAAGTGTATGTGTTATAATACACATGGCAACCAGATGGCCTCTACGTGAACATATGAATGATAGTTTAACTAGGCAGTTCTTTCTTCCTCATTTATTTCTCTATACCAAATAGTATGCGTCCTCCACAGTATGGTCATTCAGTGAAAGAAGTACCAAGTATTTCTTTCTGTTAATGAGTCAGAGATACTAATATATGTATGTGAGTCCCCCAATTACCCTGTGCAAGATAAGCTGTTTTAAATGCAATTAGAATACCCTAAGATAAATGACAAACTCCTCTTACGTATCCTTTTCTCTGAGGTGAAATGAGACACTGCACAGATGAGAGGTACTATTCTATTCATCAACAATCAACCTTTCACTCAATTTTAATATTATTTAATTCTATGGAAAAAACAATTTTATTACATTCCTTTTTAAAACGGGGGAAAAACTGTACAGTAAGCATGATCAAACCTCTGTTATAGGTGGTTAATACTGATCTTTTATTATTGCCTCGAAGTCTCTCTAGTAGTGTCCAAGAAATTATGCTTAAGGTCCATCTGATGGAAAATAGCACTGGAGAGGCAAGAAAGGGCTTGGGGAAAAGCTTCAGAGGATTTGTAGGGAGATGGGACTTGCTGTTTAAAAAATTACACTGGGCTCTGCAGCATCGCCATTTCTTAACATACCATCCACACCCATCAGGGGGATTAGTTTTACCCATGTTTTAAAGGCTCAAATTGTATGCAGTTTGGGGGCTTTTATAAATTCTGAAAGTAAAGAAATATAAAGAGTGGACAGTATTGAAGGCTAAAGAGTAGGGCTATAAGAGACTCAATACTACTAAATAAGTCCCCAAACAAAAACATCCAACTCACCCCCAATCCCAACTCCTGTATGTAAAAAGAGAAAATGCATAGCCAGAAGCATTAAAGAAAAGCATGTAGCCTTGAATAAATCATACAATGAACAGTTTAGAAACAAAAGGAAAAAAACAACATACACATACACAAAAAGGCCTAAAAAGCATCTATTCACCCTATGTTTTAAGGTGAATACCTCTACCCCAGTGGAGTCTACTTATGAAAACAACTCATCTGTTTTTTTAAAGTCAAAAACTGTTTCCATCATGCTCCATTTTCTAAATTATCCTTTTTGATTAGTTGATGTAAACAAAAAGCAAAACACATACACATGCATGCGTGCACACACATACATATATACTCCCTCTAAAATGTGAAAAACGCAAATATATAACGCTGGCATTAGAAATCACTTCAGCTTTAAACTTAGAACTCATATAGGCTCTTGATTTGCCCCCAAAAATATTTTTCCTTCTCCTTATTTAAATGCCCAACCACCAAAAGAAAAAGGGAGAAAGTAAAAGGCTTTAAATGTACACATTTCAAGTCTTGTTAACAAAAAAGGTAGCATTTTCTTCACTTTGGCCATTGTTAAAGATGCAGGCATAGAGCACGAAATGTTAGACTAGCATGTATTAAAAAAAAAAAAAAGCAACATTAACAGAGCACATAAAAGACTAAAACACTAACAAATACAAGTCAATGCACATTTTAAACTAGTGTAATTTTATCTACATTGAATAAATGTTATTTTGTATACCGGACATTGCAATACTGTTCATTTCCATTTCATCATGCAAACATGCCAATTTTGTCATTAAGAAGCCTTTATTAGGTTATATTCACTTTGACCCTCCCACCAAATTAAGGGGGAAAAAACAAAACACAAAAATAAGAAATCCCAGTAAAGGAGCCCCTCAAGACTTCATAAACTACAAACTAAAGCTACTAATAAGGAAATGGCAGAATTTTCAGAGCTGTATAATACAAGAATTCCTGTAATTTAGGCAGATGTTTTCCTCACTGATGACAAATTTTGCAACACAATGTGAGGTTATGCTACTTGGATATTTGTGGCAAAATCATTTTTTGTACAAAAACAAAAGGAACCATAAAAATAAAAGTATATGTTCCTCACGGCCTATGAGCATACAAATTTTTTTAGCAATTTAAAAGGGTAACTATGAGAGCCTAACATTTTTCTATATCCCACCTATTCTGCCTCTCTATTTGTAGGAATTGTAACTGAAAGTAACATCTTATTAGCAGAAGTCCCTTCTATCTCCCACTGCCTCCAACTAATCCTACTAATTTACTCTCATCTTCCTGAGCATCCTCCATGAACAGCATTGCAAGTTGGTTTTAAAAATAGAAAAGAAAAAAAGAAAGAAAGGTTTACAAGGGTTTTGTTGGTTAATTACCAGTGGAGTCAGTCCACCAGTAGTTTGATTTCATTGGCTAGCAGCTGGTTCATGTTGAACAGGCCCCCTGGGAGCTTGGTGAGCAGCTCTCGCTCCGTGCTTTCAGGGTCGCTGTCAACAGAGCTGGAACTTGCACTCATGTTGTCAACAGCAGTGCTGGCTGGGGGACCCAGCTCCGGCTCACTAGTCTCACTGGCCGTGGACACCACGGAGAGCAGGGACATACGCCGGGTGAGCCGGCCAGAGGGTAGAAGGGAGGCGGCATAGTCTGCTATGATACCAGCTACATCTAGATTACAAGCCTTATCAAAGGCGATGAAACCTACATTTGCATTGGCCTCACAGACGCAGAAGGAGCCGTCATCTTTCATCAACAGGTCAATGCCACACACGTCCATCCCCAGGATATTAGACACCTGGATAGCTAGCTGCTTCCCTTGTTCACTCAATGAGCACATCATCCCCACACCACCTGGCAAGAGAAACAAGACAGGAAATTAACAAAACCATTAACTTTTCAATAAAATTAAAGTTGGCCTCCAAGGCTAAGCCTCTCTTCTAAATTAATAGTGAAAACAAAGGTGCTATTCTAGTGTAAAATTCGGACTTCTAAGCCTAGATTTTCCTTCATTAGGAATCCTCTCCCTATCCAGTCTCCCAGGAATTGTTGATTTAATAATTTTTCAATATTTTTTCCAAGCCTATCTTACTTGTAAGAATACAGATCAAGTATAAGGAAGTTCAGCATAGATACAATTCAACTACTTTATAGATGGCAAAAGTATTATTGATTTTTGATTTATAAAAAAAATAAAAATATGTAACAGGACCACGGATGAGGTGGAATCTGGGAATGTGGTGACCTGAACGTAGCTCTCTTCCTCTATAGTCCTCACTTCAATGTAGCTGCATTCCTAAGCCAAAAGGCTTCTGTGTCATAAGGTAGCTGGCTGGATATAAGAAGTCTTTAGCCTTGCCAAAAGGAAGGAAGAGAAAGGAAGCAGAACTTCATTTTCTCACTTGGAGATTAGCTTCCCGAAGCTCTGAGCTAAGAACAGGAAAGCAAAGAACTTTAAGAAGAGCTTGGCTCCAAGAGCTCTGTGTATCCACAGGAGTGAGGATGACTGTATTATGAGAGATTGCCTGTAGTGTTTGACCCCAGAAAAGCCAGAAGTAGCTAGACAGGTGAGATGGATCCTCCCTACCATTGAGGCTGGAAGAATAAAAGAGTCAAAGATACAAAAGGCTTCTTCTAGGTACCTCTATAGAACACTGGCCTGTGAATTAGATTATTCTGCTTCACAGCACTTCCAAGACTGAGGCCATGTGGAATACTACAAATAACCCAAGCTGAGTGAGCCCGGATGTAAAAATAAAACAATAATAATCCATTTTGACTTTAATGAAAGAAGTAAGAACTCTTTAAGGAGACTCAAGTTCAGCACAAAAAGACTTTCTGAAGTTAAAACAAAAACATGATAACTAAAAAATACAAGAGAAAGTCAGAGTACAGTTGCTTTTGAGAGTTATCTCAGAAAATCAAGTAATATGCAAAGCATAGCTAAAAATGTGAGGTGAAATCATAAAGATAAAAAATTTGGGCTGGGTGCAATGGCTCATGCCTGTAATCCCAGCACTTTGGGAGGCTGAGGCAGGAGGATCACCAGAGGTCAGGAGTTCAAGACCAGCCTGGCCAACATGGTGAAACCTCATCTCTACTAAAAAATACAAGCATTAGCCCAGCATGGTGGCAGGTGCCTGTAGTCCCAGCTACGTAGGAAGCTGAGGCATGAGAATTACGCCACTGCACTCCAGCCTGGGAGACAGAATGAGACTCCATCTCCTAAAAAAAAAGAACGAAAAAGAAAAAAAAAAAAAAACAACTGGATAACAGAATCAGAAAAAAAAATACTCCTTAAGAAGGAGAGAAATAGACTGCAGAGAGGCAATAACTAATGAAGAAATTTTCCAGAAACTGTCTCAGGAAAAAATTTAGTCTGCTAACTAAAACAGTTAACTTTTAAAATCCAGGTTAAACTGATAAGAAAAGACACAGATACATCTACAAAATTCCACTAAAATTTGAGAACTAATAAAAAAAATTTACAAAGAATAAATTACCTACAAATGAAAAAAATGAGAGTCAATTTGGACATTAAACTGCAACAATAAAATCTTCGAGGTGGCAGAAATGAAGCTAAACTCTTAGAAAATAAGAATTGTATCTCAGCCCAAATACTATTCTTCTTTCAGGAACAAAGACGTGTGATATTCTGATCTTTATTATATTTTGGGTTTTGTAGATGGTTCCTGGCATATAACTCCCACAGCCCTTGTTATAGTCTTTTGTTATAATGTTGGGGCACTTTAGGCCTTAGAAAATAGAATCTAACCTTCGCCTGTCCTCCTTTCACCTACCCTACAGCAGTACTCTAATCTTTCATGGCTTTTCTGACTGTGGGTCCTAAACCTCATTCCAGATGAAGACCTGCCCTACACCCTGGAGGAAGGAATGTGGCACAGAGAGGCTAAGAAGAATCTGAACAGACAGGCTTGCTGGGTTTTTCTACTCAGTCTATTAATGTTAGATCATACCCTCTGGTCCAATTACATTTTTACATGGTTATCAATTATGTCTATCCAGTTGGATATCTAAAAAGACAAGGTTCAGAAAACTTCTGGATAGCTGGAACACAGAGCATGCCTCCATACCTTTTCTCCCGTGCCTTGCCCTATGTATCTTTTCATCTGTATATTCTGTAATATAATTTATAAAATACAGATAAACACAAGATAAGTGTTCCCTGAGTTCTGTGAGCTGCTGTAGCAAATTAATCGAACTTAAGCAGAGGGTCACAGGAACCCTAACTTGAAGCCAGTTGGTCAGAAGTTCTGTAGGCCTGGACTTGCAACTATTGTCTGAAGGGGGTGAGGTGGGGAGTTGGGGATAGTCTTGGAGACTGAGCCCTCAACCTGTGGGATCCGATGGTAACTCCAAATAGAGAAATCCCCTACACGTGGTGAAGTAAGTCTTCTGTGTGAACTGTTGTTGAATTAGAGAACAGAAAAAGCACTCTGAGTGTATTTTTTATATTAATAGAATATGTGAAAGTATCTGTGACTCTGATAGCCCACCAGGGCAAATAATCAAGAAATGATACTAACGTACTAGCAAATGGCTAAGAACAGAGATCTCAAGATATGGGAAAATGAATATGAGGAGTAAACCATGGTGACTACTTTGCAATACGGACATAATTAATTTTAAGTGGATAAAGGAAGACAGACTGGGAATGGATAAAGGGGTATATAAAGGTTCATGAAACAGAAGAGACATATAATAAAACAAATTCCAATATAGACTTGAACTAAAACTATTAGATGATTTCAGCAAAACTGGAATGTAAGGCCAATGAGATTAAGGATTTTTGCCTGTTTTGTTCACTGCTGTATATAAAATACTGCTGCAACAGGACAGGCACAGTGGCTCATGCCTGTAATCCCAGCACTTTGGGAGGCCGAGATGAGCGGATCACCTGAGGTCAGGAGTTTGAGACCAGCCCGGCCAACGGGGTGAAACCCCATCTCTACTAAAAATAAAAAATTAGTTGAGTATGGTGATGGGTGCCTGTAATCCCAGCTATGTGGGAGGCTGAGGCAGGAGAATCACTTGAACCCGGGAGGTGGAGGTTGCAGTGAGCTGAGATCGTGCCACTGCGACAAAAAACTCCATCTCAGGAAAAAAAAAAAAAAATTACTCTTACAACAGTACTTGACGCTTAGGAGTCACTCAAAACTATTTATTCAATAAATAAACGAATCAACAAGGAAGAATAAGAAGGAAATGAAATTGTTCTAATATTCCCGTTGGCGGGGAGAGGGAACAAGTAACACCAGGGGAAAGTGAAGGTATTCTAAAGACTTCACATTATTATGAAGACACAGTGAAGTAGTAAAGAAAATATCAAAGAAAATTATATTCTCAAATAACTGTAGAGAATGTGTCTGGTTATGAGAATAAGAAAATAGAAGGTAACCATTAATGGAATGCAAAACCCTGGCTGATCTCCCAAATTAACTAGGTTTGGTGGCAGGAGTGAAAATAGAATGGCTCCTTATAAACCAGCAAAAATTAGAAAAGAAAAAAAGAAGGAACAATTTGATTAAATAATAAACACAAAATAAGATGGAAGGAATAAGATGAAGTATATTAGTAATTATACAAAAAATGACCAAATCTTCCATTAAAAGATGGAAGCTAGTCCAATTTGAATAAAAAGAAAAATTTAGCTATACACTACTTGTAGCAAACATCGGCAAAATACACTTTACTTCACAGCCTTATTTCTCTTGACTAGAGTATACATCCATCTATATGCATTTCTCCTTTGTTAAATATTAATATTAAACAATCATGCTGACCACACACCAAAAAAACCTTAATGAAATTTTAAAAAAATGTTATAGGCCACATTCTCGGACAATACTAATAATAATACAAGAAAATCAGAAGGTAATGGTAAAGGTAGCCAAAAGAATTAACTACTTTGAGGTTGCAAAATTGATCCTTTGAGTTAAAGAAATCACAAAGAAAAATGAGAACCATCTGTAAATACAAAAGAAAAATGCTTTGTGTTAATACCTTCCAACACTGGGAAAGTTCTCCAGAGGAAAATGTTTAACATGAAATGCCTTTATTTTGAAACAAGAAACTAAGTGTTCCAGCCAAAGAAACTAGGAAGAGAGATACAATGAAAATAAAAAGTAAAATGAATACCACAGGAAGAGATTTTTTTTAAAAAAAAATACAAAAGCTATTTTGATAACACAAAGCAGAGATTAAAAGCAGCACAGGCAAATATCTCATGAAACTCTTTGGCAAAAAATTGGAAACATAAAAGAAATGGATGATTTTCTAAGCAAATGATAAATTTCCAAAACCCACCCAAGAAGTGGCCAACTTCAACAGGGCAATTATTACAGAAGGGTTTCAGAAGGTGATAAACGCTATTACTGCACAAGGAACTAGGATAAGAAAGGTTCACAGCTCAGTTTTATTTAGCTATCCTTTATTCCAATGTTACTTTACCAATATAGAATGCCCTAGGAAAAGACTGAAAACTCCCCAATACATTCAATAAAACCAGTATAACCTTAATATCAAATGTGATAAAGTTTTAAAAAAATAATATGGCCAATCTTACTCATTAAAATATATGATTTTTTTCTTTTTTTTGGAGATGGAGTCGCCCTGTGTCACCCAGGCTGTAGTGTAATGGCACAATTTCGGCTCACTGCAACCTCCACCTCCGAGGTTCAAGCAATTCTCCTGCCTCAGCCTCCTGAGTAGCTGAGACTACAGGTATGTGCCATGCCCGGCTAATTTTTGTATTTTTAGTAGAGACGGGGTTTCACCATGCTGGCCAGGCTGGTCTCAAACTCTCTCAGGTGATCCACCCACCTCGTCCTCCC